AACTGAACTACTAGCACAGCTACTACAGGAAGTTTTTTCAACCCAGAGAGATCTTTCTTGATGATTGTGATGAGGAGGGACTTGGGGAAGATTTGGTTTTCCAGAGAATTAGTGAAGCTTGCTTCTGAGTTAAGCTGTCAAAGCACTGGAAAAATCAAGTAGAAAAAAATCCCCCTAGGACTTCTCAGGCCTTAGCCCGGCGGAGGTGGGGGTAGCTCTGGAGAGTCCTCTCTATGGCTTCATCCAAGCTCACCACTGGCTTGTAGCCCATGTCTCTCTTGGCCCGTTCACAGCTGTAGTAGTGAAAAGTTCCAGCCAATGCAACCCGCATAGGGGTAAAAGTGGGCTTGATGGTGACCAGTGGACTTAGCAGCACCAGCACAAGAGAAAGGAGGAGGGCAAGGTAATAGGCCAGCCAGTAAGGGATGTGGTACTTGGGTGCATCGTAGTTCAAGCCAGTCAAGATACGGGACATGAATGCCCAGAAAGGAACAGGTTCATCATTTGTGATATGAAATGCCTGAAAGAGAGGAAGACAGAAAGCCAGATGATAAAAACGTTACTGTCTGCGTAAGCTCATCTCTGTGCTTGCCCAACTCATGTTCAATTTGGCAAGATTGATATTCTGGACTTCAATGAAAAAACATTTCCGTAACAAACTGATTTGCACAAATTACCTCTGTCCAAAAAGGGACAGACCTCTTCTTGGCTAAGAAAACTAGCTGCTCCCAAGATTAGACCTCAGTGTTCTAATATGGTCAAACTGAATGATACAAATGATACAGTATCATGCAACCATGCTAAAGCATCCTAGCTGTACATATTGTGTGTGGCGTGGTCAGAGGACAGTGGTACTGCGAAAATCTATAGGCATTTCTGCTGTTCAGAACTGTACTGCAAGAGCCAAGGGACTACATTTCTTAAGAACGTATCTAGGGTGCCAAGAATTTTGCCTGGATTTCCTTCCACAAGGAGTGTTATAGAACAAGGCTAAAGTATATTCATGCATCTTAGCACACGAGCTTGTCAAGAATGTCACCAGATGTACAACCAATCATTATATTCACAGACAGAAAAGATGGAGCTGTGTGAGTTAGTTCCACTCATCTCCAAGATGTTAAATACAGATGAAATCAGCATTAGCTACAAAACAGACACATGGAACCTGGTGAGGAATTCCTGTGAAGTTTGGCTAGGTGACTCCCGCTCCCCTACTACTTATTAGTTCCTCTCTTACCTTCCCACACAGGGGAGAGTCTTTCTGAAGATGCTCTGCAGCTAGAATGTGCCCATGCACCACGTTTTCCACGTAAGTGAAATCCACCAAGTTCTTTCCATCTCTGCACAGAAAATAAAAGGAAAAAGTTTAACTCAAAGGTAATCTAAAATTTGTTTTTGGCAAAAAAAGATTTTCGCACAACATAGATTTATTCTGAGTTTCTTTTTCTCCCCTTGTGTTGTGCCACAATTTCAGACCATACCCTATCAGACAGATGAAGTCTCTGCATCTTCACTCCAGAGGCAGTGTCAAAGCTGTTATTGTCTCAGCTCAGCAAGACCCTCATAAAGTTTCTGATCCTCTAAAAGTACCCTCTTTTAAGCCTTGCATGTTGCCAAATTTCTAGGTGTTATGAAATCAGCATTAGCTACAAAACAGACACATGGAACCCAGTGAGGAATTCGTGTGAAGTTTGGCTAGGTGACTCCCGCTCCCCTACTACTTATTAGTTCCTCTCTTACCTTCCCACACAGGGGAGAGTCTTTCTGAAGATGCTCTGCAGCTAGAATGTGCCCATGCACCACGTTTTCCACGTAAGTGAAATCCACCAAGTTCTTTCCATCTCTGCACAGAAAATAAAAGGAAAAAGTTTAACTCAAAGGTAATCTAAAATTTGTTTTCGGCAAAAAAGATTTTCACACAACATAGATTTGTTCTGAGTTTCTTTTTCTCCCCTTCTGTTGTGCCACAATTTCAGACCATATCCTATCAGACAGATGAAGTCTCTGCATCTTCACTCCAGGAGCAGTGTCAAAGCTGTTATTGTCTCAGCTCAGCAAGACCCTCATAAAGTTTCTGATCCTCTAAAAGTACCCTCTTTTAAGCCTTGCATGTTGCCAAATTTCTAGGTGTTCACTCAAATTCTAGAGGTCTCAATTAGAAGAATGATTCAAGAAGGAACAGCAGTAACTAGCACATAGAGTCACCTAAGGACAAGCTTTCAATTATGAATTTCTTGGCTCATGAAATTTTAACTTACTCCTGCAATAAGCCAATTCAGTCCTAGCAGAAACTGATTTAATCCAATGTGTTTAATCTATATCTACACAGAATTAGAAAATAAATCTACATAACACTTCAAGAGCCCAGTTAAATTCAAACAAAACTGTTTATTAGAAGCCATCTTTACACCCTCTTGTCATGAAAACATCATTGTAATCTAGCATTCTGAAAATTAATAATTTTCATTCCTGGTATTCATGGCTGAACAGCTATTTTGTTCTCTTTCTTGGAAGAGCTATACAGGTCTTTATGGCATTAGGAAAACTTGGATGAGGAAGGTGTATTTGAGCAACTTTGAGTAAAGAATGGTACTAACTGGAAAGCTTGAGTTTATTCAGGTTTGCAACTCAGCTCAGTTTGAGAGATCAGTTCAAAAGCAAAGTGCAATAAAGAATAAGAACAACAAAACCCCTATCTCAATTCTTTCTCCTACGGCAGTCTGGATACATGCTCAGTCACATATGCCCATAGACATACAAACCAGCTTCCTGCATACAATAAGAAATCTACTATCAATTACAAAGGAGATTAACAGCAGAATACGATAGTAGAGAAAAGAAAAATCTTAGTAGAAGATCGAATTATTTCCTGTTCTAAAATTTTAGTAGTAAGATTTCAAATTAATATTATTCTCTTCTAAAAGGGGCTTTGTATGTTTAGCGTGAGTTTTAATAAAACCTGTAATATGGCTGACACTTGCTCACCCAATCATGAATTTCATTTTGCCACTTTTAGCTGCTTCGATGAGGATGGGAACCAGCTGAGGATCCCTAGGGCCAAATATCCCATGTGGGCGAATAGCAGTAGTGAAGAAATTGTTGTCTGGGTCATTTGCCCCCAGCACTTCCTGTAGAGGAAAAAACAGAATCAAATTAAGAGAAAAAGGCTGGAAAGATATGGCTTAGCAATATATCCCTCATTCATCATTAAATAGGGTAGAGGTTCACACTTAAAATGTAAACAACTGAAAAAAAAAGCTTTTGTTTGGCATGTTATATTAAAACTATAATTAGTATTATGAATTCTAAAAGCAGAGCAGATCTGCAAGTGTCTAAAGTAGTGACCATTCAGATGCACTTTTTTTTTTTTTTTAAACACTTTTTAACAAGAATATTTTCAATTTAGGGCAACAGAATGATCTAACTACATATTATTAACGTGGCATGCCCTTAACACTGTCTACCTCCACCTTATCTTGTTTTTCCCCAGAAACTTTTTGAGAATCGTAACAGAAACACATGCCCATTGCCATTACTGCCATCAGTATTAGAATGAGAGACTTTCTGATGAAACAGAGATTCTGGAGAACAACAGAGATCTGTTTGATGCTGAAGAGTCTGTTGTCCTCCTCAGGGCATGTCCTACTTCAGGGAGGTCATTTAGAAGCATTAAGAATAATAGTGTTAAATGTATTTAACACTATGACAAATACCTTCTCCTGTAGGATCTTTGTTTCTGTGTAATAGTCAATAGGCTTTTTTGCATAAGGGAGATCTTCTGTTCCATTTTTTATGTCTGTGCCCTCAAAAACAACACTGGCACTGCTAGTTAACACCAGTTTCTGCAAGAGATGTGAAGAAAACAGTTGTTTGAAAATTGACAAAAAGATCATTATTTACAGAGCGTGAGTAAAGACAGTAATGTTTAATGAACTGATTCTACAGAGAGCACAACCCATGTTCTTTTAGACTTGGTTTAACTTAATATCTGAAAATTCAGGTACAAAAACTCCCACATTTTCAATCAATTTCATGACAGAATTAATACTATCTAAAGCAGATGAATGAACAACTTTTGCCTGAAAGAGCAAGAAATCTTATGAAAGTAGTAACAAAACACTTCAGAAGCAGATAAAGTACACATTTCAACAAGCTTCCAGTGCAGTCAGTCAAGAGGAAAACATCTCCAGGGAAAGCTGAGTGCCCACTTGACTTGACACATTTTACCAGTTCACACAGGATGAGTGCTTTTAAGACACATCTGTTCACCTTTACAATAACAATATCATGCTAGATGAAACCAAAAAGGAATTTTGATCGTGGATGTTTTTGTTGGATAATACTGTACCTTAGAGGATTCAAAATGGGAAGTGAGCGATTCGTTTTAATAATCAGAAACATGGGGGTGTTAAACAACATTGTAATAAAGATGAGTGGATGCCACAAGTTCCAACAAGACTTTGCTCTTGCTCTGACAGCACCCAGACTAAGCAAGGAGGTAAACACTACACAGCCCATTTCCTACAACAACTTATCACATGAGAAGAAAAACTGCAGGCCGAGGGTCCTTTATGATGTATATTGTTTAATTCTGAATATTATCAACTCGAAACTTGTACATGGACATTACAAAACACATGCTTTGCAAGTAACATTTCTTACCAAAGTAAGGGACCTTCACACATACCGTGCTTCAAAATTTGGTAATGACTCCAACGCTATCATAAAATATGTAAGGAGAGAAAAAAAAAAAAAATACACACACACAAGAAAAAACCCACATGCCTGAACAGCATCCTGTTTTCCTCCGGCTTTTATAGGCAAATGACTTTCTAAATTGAATTATATCGAGACTGACACACAAGCGTGTTCCTTCTCCATAACACATCAAAGAATTCACACAGTAATAGATGCCATGAATATTTCCACCACAGGAAAAACCTATCTTTACAGCTGGCCCTTTATTTAAGGCATGAAAGAATCCACTTGTCAGTCGTTCTGCCTTGGGGGAATTCCCAGGTGTCTAGTATGACAGATTCTAATGGATGTTTTTCCTGCAGTGAGGGAAATTGAGATGTGCAGGTTTTCTGTGACCAGCAGGGATGGAGCTTACATCAGACTCTCAGCGGGACAGCAACACCCTCTCGTTTCTCCTTATTTGCATGGAACAAATAGGAATTCAGCATCTCTGAAAGCTTTGCCTTGCTATCAAAGGGACTGAAATTGCTCCACAGTTCAAAAGCTACAAAGTCACATCAGCGTCTTATACTCCCCACGCGCTTTCCTGCCCTTACCGACACTCCAGCTTCTTTGCAGGCTTCAATGACTGTTTTGGTTCCCATAAAATTCACCTTGTAAAACAGTTCCCTGTTGTCACTGGAAGGTGCTGGGGATGCACAATGAAATGCCACTGACACTCCTTGTAAAGCTGGGAGCAAGGCCTAGAGGACAGATGTTAAAGACAGCAATGAAACAGCAAGAACAGAGTCTACTTGGAGAGAAGGAAGCCTATAAAACATGGTTATTTTTCTCCTTCAAATTTCCGATCACGTTCCTTTCACAAAGGTGAACAGCAGAAATGGGATCATCTCTGCAGGACATTTTCACAGAGTCCTATCCTTCTTACTAGGCAAAATTGCACCACATCTCTTCCTTCCAAAGAGGAATTTGAGAATTTTGAGACCCAGAGGCGATCTAGATAGCTATTTCCAGGAATCTTAAAGGTAGCTATGAAATCCAAGATAGGAGATAGAAAATCTAGTATACAGCAGATTTAACTTCTGAAATTTCAGAAGCTAAGAGATGACTGCCACAAAACTGAGATACAGTATCTCATATTAGTGGGGACTCGCCTCTTCACTTGAATACAAACATTTTTGCCACGGCTCACAGGCAAAACTGAGATAAGGCATAAGTCTCCAAGAGGTCTTAATCTGTCTTAACTGTAAAAAATAAAATAATGCACCCTGCCATTCTCATGTGACTGACATGAGCTAAGATAGCAGCACATGCAATTACCAACAGTGACAGTAATCAGAATGTCACAGTAATAGAAATCATAATACACAAATAAGTTCTGTTCCTGCCAGCTTCAAGCAGGCCTCGGATATATTTGTTTAAATATTCCACAGAAAACTCTAAAGAGTTGCTGACTTCACTGAGAAAGTTGAGGGGAAGGATATATAGTCACATACCCCCTTTAAACCTGAAAAGCTTGGTTAGCTGTTTGAATGAGCATTTGTTTGAACAGACATCCCTCCCATCGACCCAGCTCCCTTATCGTTATTAGTTTGTACCTCTTTGCTGCAGAGATCTCCCAAGAAGAACTGCACCTTCTCATTCTCGAAGCCCTTCCGAATATCAAACACGTTGACCGAGTAGCCTTTGTCCAGGAGCTGCTCCACCATGTGCTGCCCTAAGAACCCCGAACCACCGATCACTGCACATCTCCTACCGGCCTGCAGACAGCCAAGAAGAAAAGCATCGTGGCAAGCAAGCACACCAGAAAAGCACGAGTAAACTTTGATGCAAACTTTCCAAGATCTTACAGGTTGGAATTTTGCACACCACAGCTGTTGAAGTCAGTGACTAGGTTGATTGAAGGAATCTAAATTCATATATCAAAAGACTTTTCAAGTATGTCTGTACCATCACAGTAACTTGGAGCTCAGCCTTGACAACGTGCTGCTTTGTATTTTGGCAGGATTGTGCCACAAAATGAACTGGCTCACCCAGGAGCAAAGAGAAAGAGGACTGGCTGTAAAGAACTCTGCATTGCTGGTAAAGCAGAACTAATTCAGCTACATGGCATGAAAGCCATTTCAAGGCATGTGAAACTTGGGCTCCTCCAAGACAAGAAAGCAATCAGGTGAAGTCAAAGCTTATCCTTTTTTATTAGTCATTAGTCTTTTTTTCTTCCCTCTCTTAAAAAGCTTATTAAAATCAATGGCTAGATTTACTAATTAACATATTCTGGTCTGGTCACTCACATAACTAGAGTAAGTCTGGAAACCTCACCAGCAACAGAGAATATCTGTAGCAATGTGCGTGCAGAAAGTTTGGTACAAAGCCAGCTCTGTTCTGGTTGGAAATAGATTTGCCTCTTATTGTTGATACACAAACTCCACTTCTGCTGTTATTCTATTGAGTTGAAGGGAATTTTAACAGAGTGGAGTTACACAAAGGATGCAGTTATTTGAAAAAATCCAAATGTTCCATCTTTAAACAAAGATTCTGCTGAGAAATATCAGTTATCCATTGATATCTCATCCAGAGATTAGAAAAGTGCTTATTCATTCACACTAAAATACGACTCGTTATTTGGGATGGCACATGCAAACTATACTCTAATTACAAATATCACAAAAGAAAAAAAAAATCTAATGTGTTGACCCAAGGGTCCATATGGTCCTGAATTCTGTTTTGGATACTTGCAAGAGAAGAGAAAAAGCGAAAAGAGCATTAAACACTTCTGCAGTTCACTCTCATTGTACTCCCCCAGAATACACAGAAATTGTATTAGAAGTGACAGCAAAGACAGCAATGTCTTTTCCTTTTAGCATCCATTTCTGGACCTCCATGTACTTGTCTGACTCCTCCTTGACCTGGCTGGTCATATCTATCTCTACAACTCTTAGGTCACCTAATTCCAGAAACTCATTACCTGCACGTGAAGTAGTCTGTTATCTTTCTTAGGCCCATTTCCTGCTACCAAGTGCTCCCTAGCTTTAATACGGGATTCAACAGGTAATGTTTTAAAATTTGTCTTCCTCGTCACCTTCCTGATTTTGTAAACTCAATCACATCACTCTGCTTGCCAGTTTCCTTTCCACACTGAAGAGCTTTAGCCTTTTTAGTCTCTCCTTGGAAGTCAGTTGTTCCATTCCACTGATATTTTTACTTGCCTTTCTTTATACTCTTTCATATTACGGCATGTTTTTCATAAATTGGGAATACCAGGACTGTACACAGTCTTAGTGTGCAGCAGCACTTAGTGTGTAGCTAAATCCAATTATACAGTGGCAAAATAAAACAATGCTCTCTATCTGGCTCAGAGTCCTAGAACCATTTTCTAGAACTACAGATTAGATACTCCAGGTTCTTCTCCAGGACAGCTTCCCACTTGCTCAAGTAAAGCACAAGACCCTAACTGGTGATAAAAAGCAAACGCAGTCAAATAATCCTTAGCGCATGTTTATAATATGTAATACATAGTATGCAGACCCTTTGTGCAGGTACTAAAGGAACCAAGGCAAAGCCCAGAAGCAGTGTAACTGCAGCTAACACACTGCTGCTCCTGGACCAATTAGTCCTTTTAAAAAACTCAAGTGAAAAGCCAGGCTGCACCTGATTTTTATCCATTTTAGGAGAAGAACTACTATCTGTCTGCAATGTTGTGCTATGAGGATAAAACAGCTTGTTTGTGCTTTCTAACATGATACTACTACCTTTTTTGTTTGCTTGCTTTCTAATTATCTGAGATTCACTGGCCTTCTGTAAGCTTAAGAGGAGGATAGGAGAAAATAGTCCAAGAGGCAAACATTCCTCATAGGCAAGAAATGTAAGCAAAGCAGCAGAACAGCTTAGTTCTTGTACTTACTACACTGCACTACTAATAATGAAGTGTGAAAAGCTCTCCAAGCAAAATGTTATTCTTCCTGTGTTTAACTTCCTGCATTTAATGCAATAATCACAGAAGGAGGTGACAGGGCCTAGAAGAGGTTACAAAGTTCTAGTAGATAACAGGGATTGTTAACAGGAACTGATAACAGGGGCTTCTGGGTTAGAATATGGAATATTATTTTAATGCACAAAGGAATGACCCTGTTGTAAGGGAATCTCCAGACTTATTGATCTGTCAACACTGGCAAAACCACTGCACTTCTTAGAGGCATGAGCATTCCTGTCTATCTATGAAAATACATTTGCATAAGACAAACCTTCATGAAACAATGTTCAAGTCTTCCACTTACCAATCTGAGGCGTGCAGCCATTTTACAGAGGATTTACTATAACCAAGCAAGGTTCTATAAAAGAGAATAATATTACTTTATTCACGATACTTATATCCTATGCTGAAGAACGTCATTAAGACAAATCATTTTTTTTTCCTTCAAAACTACAGATTTCTAATTACAGAAATTGAAGTGTGAAGCTTGAAGCAGAAGCATGATAAGAACCAGGTAACATTCCCTGCCCTGCT